TCGGGCCGAAATTGTAAGGGCCGGGGTGGTTCAGCATTTTGGAGGAAAATATTATTTTTTTTAAATTGGCTAGTTTCCCCATAATGAATGTACATATATGCCATTAGATGGATCCTGAACCCCATATCCCTTTGAAAGGGGCGTAGTGGCAAATATTGAAAAATTTGAGTTATCACAACTTTCGGGCCGAAATGGTAAGGGCCGGGGTGGTTCAGCATTTTGGAGGAAAATATTATTTTTTTTAAATTGGCTAGTTTCCCCATAATGAATGTATATACATGCCATTAGATGGATCCTGACCCCCATATCCCTTTGAAAGGGCGTAGTGGCAAATATTGTAAAAATTTGAATTATCACAACTTTTCGGGCCGAAGTTGTAAGGGCCGGGGTGGTTCAGCATTTTGGAGGAAAATATTATTTTTTTTAATTGGCTAGTTTCCCCATAATGAATGTATATACATGCCATTAGATGGATCCTGAACCCCATATCCCTTTGAAAGGGGCGTAGTGGCAAATAATTAAAAATTTGAATTATCACAACTTTCGGGCCGAAATTGTAAGGGCCGGGGTGGTTCAGCATTTTGGAGGAAAATATTATTTTTTTTAAATTGGCTAGTTTCCCAATAATGAATGTATATACATGCCATTAGATGGATCCTGACCCCCATATCCCTTTGAAAAGGGCGTAGTGGCAAATATTGTAAAAATTTGAATTATCACAACTTTCGGGCCGAAATGGTAAGGGCCGGGGTGGTTCACCATTTTGGAGGAAAATATTATTTTTTTTAAATTGGCTAGTTTCCCCATAATGAATGTACATACATGCCATTAGATGGATCCTGAACCCCATATCCCTTTGAAAGGGCGTAGGGGCAAATATTGTAAAAATTTGAATTATCACAACTTCCGGGCCGAAATATGGTTCACTATTTTGGAGGAAAATATATATTTTTTTAATTGGCTAGTTTTCCCATAATGAATGTACATACATGCGATTAGATCGATCCTGAACCCCATATCCCTTTGAAAGGGGCGTAGGGCAAATATTGTAAAAATTTGAATTATTACAACTTTTTGGCCGAAATGGTAAGGGCCGGGTGGTTCAGCATTTTGGAGGAAAATATTATTTTTTTAAATTGGCTAGTTTCCCCATAATGAATGTATTTACATGCCATTAGATGGATCCTGACCCCCATATCCCTTTGAAAGGGGCGTAGTGGCAAATATTGAAAAATTTGAGTTATCACAACTTTCGGGCCGAAATGGTAAGGGCCGGGGTGGTTCAGCATTTTGGAGGAAAATATTTTTTTTTTAAATTGGCTAGTTTTCCCATAATAAATGTATATACATGCCATTAGATGGATCCTGACCCCCATATCCCTTTGAAAGGGGCGTAGTGGCAAATATTGTAAAAATTTGAATTATCACAACTTTTCGGGCCGAAGTTGTAAGGGCCGGGGTGGTTCAGCATTTTGGAGGAAAATATTATTTTTTTTTAATTGTCTAGTTTCCCCATAATGAATGTACTTACATGCGATTAGATGGATCCTGAACCCTATATCCCTTTGAAAGGGGCGTAGGGGCAAATATTGTAAAAATTTGAATTATCACAACTTTCGGGCCGAAATTGTAAGGGCCGGTAAGGTGGTTCAGCATTTTGGAGGAAAATATTATTTTTTTAAATTAGCTAGTTTCCCCATAATGAATGTACATACATGCCATTAGAAGGATCCTGACCCCCATATCCCTTTGTAAGGGGCGTAGTGGCAAATATTGAAAAATTTGAGTTATCACAACTTTCAGGCCGAAATTGTAAGGGCCGGGGTGGTTCACCATTTTGGAGGAAAATATTTTTTTTTTTCAATTGGCTAGTTTCCCCATAATGAATGTATATACATGCCATTAGATGGATCCTGACCCCCATATCCCTTTGAAAGGGGCGTAGGGGCAAATTTTGTAAAAATTTGAATTATCACAACTTTCGGGCCGAAATGGTAAGGGCCGGGGTGGTTCACCATTTTGGAGGAAAATATTATTTTTTTTAAATTGGCTAGTTTCCCCATAATGAATGTACATACATGTGATTAGATGGATCCTGACCCCTATATCCCTTTGAAAGTGGCGTAGGGGCAAATATTGTAAAAATTTGAATTATCACAACTTCCGGGCCGAAATTGTAAGGGCCGGGGTGGTTCACATTTTGGAGGAAAATATTTTTTTTTTAATTGGCTAGTTTTCCCATAATGAATGTACATACATGCGATTAGATGGATCCTGAACCCTATATCCCTTTGAAAGGGGCGTAGGGGCAAATATTGTAAAAATTTGAATTATCACAACTTTTGGGCCGAAATGGTAAGGGCCGGGTGGTTCAGCATTTTGGAGGGAAATATTTTTTTTTTTAATTGGCTAGTTTCCTAATAATGAATGTATATACATGCCATTAGATGGATCCTGACCCCTATATCCCTTTGAAAGGGGCGTAGGGGCAAATATTGTAAAAATTTGAATTATCACAACTTTCGGGCCGAAATGGTAAGGGCCGGGGTGGTTCACCATTTTGGAGGAAAATATTATTTTTTTTAAATTGGCTAGTTTCCCCATAATGAATGTACATACATGTGATTAGATGGATCCTGAACCCTATATCCCTTTGAAAGTGGCGTAGGGGCAAATATTGTAAAAATTTGAATTATCACAACTTCCGGGCCGAAATTGTAAGGGCCGGGGTGGTTCACTATTTTGGAGGAAAATATTTTTTTTTTTAATTGGCTAGTTTTCCCATAATGAATGTACATACATGCGATTAGATCGATTCTGAACCCTATATCCCTTTGAAAGGGGCGTAGTGGCAAATATTGTAAAAATTTGAGTTATCACAACTTTCGGGCCGAAATGGTAAGGGCCGGGGTGGTTCACCATTTTGGAGGAAAATATTTTTTTTTTTTAATTGGCTAGTTTCCCAATAATGAATGTATATACATGCCATTAGATGGATCCTGACCCCTATATCCCTTTGAAAGGGGCGTAGGGGCAGATTTTGTAAAAATTTGAATTATCACAACTTTCGGGCCGAAATGGTAAGGGCCGGGGTGGTTCACCATTTTGGAGGAAAATATTATTTTTTTTAAATTGGCTAGTTTCCCCATAATGAATGTACATACATGTGATTAGATGGATCCTGAACCCTATATCCCTTTGAAAGTGGCGTAGGGGCAAATATTGTAAAAATTTGAATTATCACAACTTCCGGGCCGAAATTGTAAGGGCCGGGGTGGTTCACTATTTTGGAGGAAAATATTTTTTTTTTTTAATTGGCTAGTTTTCCCATAATGAATGTACATACATGCGATTAGATCGATCCTGAACCCTATATCCCTTTGAAAGGGGCGTAGGGGCAAATATTGTAAAAATTTGAATTATCACAACTTTTGGGCCGAAATGGTAAGGGCCGGGTGGTTCAGCATTTTGGAGGAAAATATATATTTTTTTAATTGGCTAGTTTCCTAATAATGAATGTATATACATGCCATTAGATGGATCCTGACCCCTATATCCCTTTGAAAGGGGCGTAGGGGCAGATATAGTAAAAATTTGAATAATCACAACTTTCGGGCCGAAATGGTAAGGGCCGGGGTGGTTCACCATTTTGGAGGAAAATATTATTTTTTTTAAATTGGCTAGTTTCCCCATAATGAATGTACATACATGTGATTAGATGGATCCTGAACCCTATATCCCTTTGAAAGGGGCGTAGGGGCAAATATTGTAAAAATTTGAATTATCACAACTTCCGGGCCGAAATTGTAAGGGCCGGGGTGGTTCACTATTTTGGAGGAAAATATTTTTTTTTTTAATTGGCTAGTTTACCCATAATGAATGTACATACATGCGATTAGATCGATCCTGAACCCTATATCCCTTTGAAAGGGGCGTAGGGGCAAATATTGTAAAAATTTGAATTATTACAACTTTTGGGCCGAAATGGTAAGGGCGGGGTGGTTCAGCATTTTGGAGGAAAATATTATATCTTTTATATAGGCTAGTTTTTCCACAATGAATGTACATATATGCCATTAGATGGATCCTGACCCCATATCTCTTTGAAAGGGGCGTAGTGGCATATATTGTAACAATTTGAATTATCACAACTCACGGGCCGAAATTGTAAGGGCCGGTGTGGTTCAGCATTTTCGAGGAAAAAATTATATTTTTTGAATAGGCTAGTTTCCTCACAATGAATGTACTTACATGCCTTTTAGTTGGATCCTGTCCCCCATATCCCTTTGAAAGGGGCGTAGGGGCAAATATCGTAAAAATTTGAATAAACACCAATTTCAGGCCAAAATGGCAATGGTGGTTGAGCATTTTGGAGGAAAAGAAAAATTGAAATTTTTGAATAGTCTAGTTTCCCCACAATGAATGAACTTACACGGTTGCCTCAAAGCCCCCAAATAGTTCAGAAGGTAATATAACTTTTATTTGTTGTTTTACAAAAGCCATTTTTTGGTATAGAGCTTCATTAGGACCTGCTAAATGATGGTAGGGTAGGAGCCCTCGGCATACATATTCATATATGGCGATTGGGGGCCCATGGCGTTTGTACAACATGATGTGCAGGGTTGTTCATTGAGACCAAATAAACAATTTTGAAAATGTTCATTTTATTTACAAAAACGATGAGCTACCCAGTAACCCCTTGCAATTTTTGCCAAAAAGTGATGATTTTCACATTCTATAAAATTTGCCAAAAGTGCCCCTCTAGAAGACAAACAAGGTTTGATCCACCTAATGATGTGCAGGAAAGTTTATTCAGTCCAAATTAACAATTAAAAAAATGGATATGTTAGAGTGCCCACATGTATCTGTCTTTGTAAATTTAGTTAAATTCAAAAATCTTGTCCTAGCATGGGGGGGGGGGGGGTGAAGGGAGTTATGCTGTATCAATATATTTTCAAAGAAGATAATTTGCATGTATTGTACAACCCTATTCTTTTCAGGTTTGATGAAGTCTTTGGACTCGTTGACAGCTGCTTTCATCTGCAGCTGCTGATCATTGAACTTCAGGAACAGCTGTCTTTAGCCAAGGCTCTGTGTGAAGAAAAGGCTTGCAGCGACTTACTCAAAGGCAAGCATCCATGAAAGTTATTCATTCAGGATTCTTAATGCATAGATTTGTTAACAAAGAAATGTTTTTCGATTTTTCAACAAATGCTAGGACATTAATTTCTCCATGATTAATTTCCAACACTAGCCAAAATCCTTATATCAGCTGTGGAATTAAGTCAAACATTCTTTATTTTTAGCATTCAATCCATTTAGAAATAATTGTTATCATGTAATCTATCATCGGGGAGTGAACTTTTATTCCAATCTCTCTTCTTCCTGCATTTAAATCTCTCTTTGCCTCTTCCTGCCCGCAGGTCTAGTAGAACTTCAAGATGTCCCTGAAGATATTGACCCATCGGGTGCGTTATGCTCCTGGTATCATCAAATGAAGAAACATGTTCAGAACAGAAGCAGCCAGTTGCGTAGGTTCACATTCTTATTTTCTGATGTGTCTCCTGTGACAGTATAGGATGAATATAATTCAGGATAACGGGCTTTTAAATGAAGAAGAGGCCATGATCAGAGCCCCCGTAATTCAAAGACCAGTTGGTGGTTGATGGCTGTTTTGCAATAGATTGCTATGTACAATCAAGTCATCTAAAGCTTCAAATGGGCTGGTATTATTGTGATCTGTCCTAAAAATGATGTGTAAAGCCTCGGTCACAAATGCCATTACGAACTGCTACGAACGATTTTCAGACAATGGACATTTTGGAAGACAATGGAAAAACAGAGATTCGTACAAAATTATCGTTCATACGAACGCTTCAAAAGATTGCATACAATTATAATCTGATTTGTACATCTGTAGAGACTGCTCTACCTGTCAGGATGATAGTGGGATGATATTAATGTGATCTGTAAAAATTGGAAAAATATATAAAATGTATTAAACGTGCCACCTTTTAATCTTGTTCATGTATGTAGACTGCTCTGCTGATGAAGACTGCTTTGTTAATGTCAGAATATCAACTGTCCATGGAGAAGGATTCGTGACATGTCCAAATTTAGTGCCAAAATTGTCATTTGGGACCAAATACAAAGGCTACTGTCTTCATATCAGTATAGAAGAAAAAAGGTAAGATGGTCAATGAAATCTTAGGGTTTTATCGACATAATCCTTGTACATATAATAAATTGGTCATTTTAATGAATTATACATTACCGGTAGTTGGTGTTGAATAAAATTTTGAAAATGCTAAAATGTTTGTCTTGTCATTACCCAGTAGATAAAGTGGGTGACATGAAGAAGGAAGACCCTGATAACATATTATTGCAAACCTCAGTTATTTCCTAACTCAGAGGAAAACATTTTTAATTTTGCAGTAGTGCTTCTCAGTGACACTATGAAAAGGACGAGACAATGTTAAAGTCCAGTATAATAGACGCATATTCTCACAAGGAATTCTCTTTTCTTTGTCATATTCAGGTCCTCGAGCCACCCTCTGTCCACACCCCACTATGCCATCACATCGGATATTCATCTCCAAGGGTTAGAGGTGAAAGGTCGCGAGTACCTTGAGAGAGGTCAAACTGCCGAAGATTTCATCCTGCAAGTCGTATGGCCAATCATGGAGGAGAATATTTGTGTGTGAAATGGGCTTTATTCAGTTGGACAGTTTGCCACTCGTACTGCATCAGCATACTACTCAGTGCTGTTGAACTTTGTTATATTGAAACCTTATCAGTTACTATTTCCTACTGTTTCTGTTATGGACACCAACTTACCAATCAACGAGTTTGTCAGTTTTTGATACATTTGTGATGTACATGTGATGTACAGCCATACCTCTTCCATCTCAGACAATGTGGACCATGGGACTCTTATAAAGGGACTTGGGAACATTGTTCAGATGAGAGTAAAATGGTGCTAAGGTAGTGACTTTGATGCTAGATGTACAATTCAAGGTACATGTAATCTGAAAAAATTTGAGTTAAACGGACCATTATTAATGATAATGCACGCAGCCTGCGTATGAGCTTCATGCATGCCCATAGAGATCCTATATATATGATCCCTATGTGCAACTAAAAAATTGTTTAAAAATTGTTGGATAGTACATGAAAGACATGGGATAGTCTAAGCAAATCAATCACATGTGACCAATCATTTGATTAGGATTTAGGAGTGAGTTGTATAATATCATATAGACTATTAGTCCAGGCATAATTTGATATGACCTCCCACTTATTGCAACAGAATATGTCTTGACTGTTTTGTGCTCTTGGAGGTGTCCATTATAACATATCAAAAGTCTTAAGGAATCCCTATGAAATATCATAAATCTGATATTTCCCATATCCCTGCTTCTAAATAACATAGATTTTTTATTTTAAGTGCTAAACTTACATTTCCAGGGACATTGAATCAAATTAATTAAATTTCAATGAGCTAAAGCTAGCCAAAAAGCCGAAATGGCGGCCATTTTCCAAAATGGCCTCCATAAACCTTATATTTTGCAATATCTCTGCTTCTGAATGACTTAGGGCTTTGATTTTCAGTGCTAAATATACATATCATGGGCCACGGAATCTTTGAAATACATTTCAATGAGCTAAACCTGACCAAAAAGCCGAAATGGCAGCCATTTTCAAAAATGACTGCCATATCCTGATAATTTCTGCTTCTAAAGGCTTAGAATTTACATTTTCTGGGGCTAGGAATCCAATGACACACATTTCAATCAATTAATTCTGACCAAAAACACATTATTCTGAGGATGTGTCAACTATATACCATGGCATGCCGTATGCCTGATGGACAACGTACATGTACAAGTCATAATTATTATAATACTGCATGTAGTTACCATAGCCTCAGACTACCATATTCGATCCATCAATCTTTCTCAAAAAGTCTATTCATTGTCATCACTGTCACATGCAACTTGGGTTGAGTTTGTGCACGCTGACCCTCTACCGTTGCCACAATCAGCTCTATGTTGTGCTTCTTGCAGGTGCACTTCAGAGTGCTGCAGTCTGTCTGGCAGTTGCAGCGGATCATCTTGAGGAGCTCTTCTAGAGCTGGTGGCAAGTCCGTCTGCACGGGCACGAGTCCTCCACTGCTTTCCCGCCAACCCCAGTCATCTGGTCGTAGCTCATCAGCTGCAATGCCCTTCCACTGCCGGACCTGGTAGTAGACACAAAGGCTGTGGTGTTGCGCTGCTGCTGATGTGGGCGGTAGACTTTTGGGTTGCACATGAGAAATGCTGGAGGCGACCTTCTGGCAGAACCGCTTATGTCGCGCCACGTTGAGTGACTCTGCAGGCTTCCCATTATACAGGCATGCCAGGGCTTTCTCTTCTGCTTCTACAACATAATCGGTGAACGCTGTCGGTCTGTCAAACACAATTGCTTGTTCGCGGAAGTGCGCACTGGTTTCAAATTTGTTAAGGGAAGCTCCCTTGCCAATGCCATACATGCAGGAAGAAGTACCACATCCTAGGAGAGCGTGCATGAAGAAAATGTGCTGTGATACATCAGGGCCTAACTGCTGTTTGACAGACTTCATGTTCCAGACACGCGGTTTCTTCACATTCTACTTTGGCTCGGGTTGGAAGAACAGGTCACATGACTCGAGGTTGGTGTGGTAGATGAGCAGCATGAGTAGATCTGTGTCATCTCCGATCAGCACAGTATCAGTGGTGGCTGCAGACTCCACTGCCTTGATATGTCTGGCAGTTCTTTGCCCGTAGTTAGTGCTGCTTATTTGTCTTGTTTGCCAAGAATTGTTCCTCTTTCATTGTGGCCTGCATATCTTCATCAAACGTCACCCGTTGCTCAAGCATTCCCTCTCGCATGTCTTTGGTGTGCTGTGCCCTTTGTTGATGTACCATCATATCCATCAAACATGACTGTTGCATGTCCATACTTCTTTGTGACATACTCTGTGTATTGCGTGCAGATACCTTTGTATGTTGAGCCACGTGCCCGTGGAATGCGCTGAACTAGAGCCCCACCATCCAACACGTAGTGGACTTTGTCAGGAGTGTCCAGATAGCACCTGCTAGCACTGGCTTCTGTGGCTGTTCGGAGCAGCAGTGTGGAATCAAACAGAGCTATTAGGTAACTGCACAGCTCATATTTCAACACAGACTCCAGAGCCTCTGTAGCTTTTGCAGCAATTGTCAGTCGCTGGAAAAGCAGCTGGGGATCCACTTGTACTGCCTCACCATCAATCTTTACTGCCGATTTCGAAGCCAAGGTGATGGTCTGATTCTTCCTCTATAGTCAGCAGCAATTGTCCATTCATGTTGGTCAGAATTGCTGTTCCAACAGTTTTTGCTGAGTCCACATTGACTTTGCTGGTTGCATGTACCCCTGTCGAAATGCTGCGCAAGCTTGTATCTAAGCTGAAGGGTGTTCTCTCTTTCAGACAGCTGATAACTGCATGTGTGTCTTTCATGTCACATTTACTTACTTTACTTTGGTGTCGAGACTTGAAGCTTCAGCTTATGTGCCCCTCTTTACTGCATTGGATTCGCGTTGGTATGGGTAGTATTTCAGCGGATGGTGCTTCCAATGATTTTCAAGTTCTGACTTGAACTTATTGATTGATGAGGCATTTATGGCAATTTCAGGAAGGTTATTCCAATTATTTATGCTCTGCACTGAAAATGACATCTGCCTCATCTTAGACTTGCAGTGGGGCTTCCTTATTTTGAGCCTGTGTCCCCTTGTTCTGGATTCTTCGATGATTTCAAACATGTCATTCTTCTCTACTGCCTCAAATCCATGCATGATCTTGTATATTTGAAGAAGATCAGCCCTCTGTCTACAGCCCTCTGTCTAGTGATGGTAGTTTGAGAGTTTTGAGTCTGTCTTCGTAGCATAGATGCTTTACATCTGGGATGAGTCGCGTAGCTAGTTGCTGAACCTTTTCCAATAGATCGTGATCCTTTAGGTACGTTGGTCTCCAGACTGCATTGCAATATTCTAGTGTTTGGTGCACTATAGTCTTATATAGTTGTAACATGCTTGTCTAGCATTTGTCATGTCCTTGTTTTGTTCACCAGTGACACCTGTGAACTGTTGCATAGCATTGTTGACTTCAGGACAGACAGGCATGGAGAGCAGCCATATGAGACGCTGTTGCTCTGTCATGCCTTGCCCTCTCGTCAGGCCACGCTGGTCTTCATACTCCTCATTAGGACCTGTTCGATGGTGAGATCTATGGACAGACCAGCCCATAGGCGATCACTTCTTATGACAACATGGAACCCTTCTTCGAATCGTTGGTACACATCTAGATGTTCATCCTTGAGCTTGTTGATTCGCCGCACATAAAGGCGGATTGATTTGGTGTAGAGGTTGTGCCAAGAGGCTGCCAGGTAGGGCAACATTTCTGACACAGCTTTAAGGTGCAACGCCCAGTTGCCAATGTGCTCTGCTCTAATAATTTTCAATAGTATGTCAACCATCTCCATGTACTGTAGCCAAAGTGTGGCGATCCTAGAAGACTTCAAGGATTCAGTTTTGGCCCGGAGGAGCTTCTTGAATCTGGTTAACACATCAGCTTGGCAGAACTCCTCTGCAGACACAGAACCTTCCATTAGGGCAGCAAGTTCATCAAGATCAGTGTTTCCAGTTCTGTTTGTCGTAGGCTCATCATCTGGTGACACTGTTGCCTCATTAGTCTCCTCCACTTCATGTGGCTCTGCGGATGGTTGAGGGAGTGGCACACGAAGTGCATCTGACAAAATCAAGGCGTTCAGTGCTGCATCAACAAGTAGATGTTCCGGTACTGCTCGTGCAATAGCCTTGCCTGACATTATGTGTACCACCGCGTTGTCTGCATAGATTAGCTCCAAGACTTCCTGCCGTCCTGATCCAGCCATGAGGTGGCCGATGCTTCCCAAGAAACTCATTTCTGTGTGAAAGCCTACCAGGCGCAAGACTATGTCATTCAAAACACTTCCTGTGGGCTCAGTCTCGATGATCACAAGGGCTTTCCACCATAGTGTTTGGTCAAAGGTGATGATGGGCTTTACACCATGGCGACAAGCATGCTCACACATGAACTTTAGTGTGGAATAGATGCAAGTGACATCGCTGGGATTCATGTCGATCATTGGGAGAAACATCACAGGTGATTTCCCGGGGTGGTCACCATGATACACTAGCTGCATCAGTCCAGACCATGCCGGTCTTGGTGAGGTGAACATAACGGATGTCTTCCACAGGAGATCAAGGTCTGCAGTTGGGTCCTTTGCCTTCATGTTAACCACCTTCTGGTATGCCATTGTTGTCGTACCGCGGCTATCTTCTTTGTGGTACTGGATAGGAATTCGTCCCACCGTGGAGATATCGCTGGAAGTGACCTGCTCCCTGAGGGTAGGTCTGCTGGTCTTGGTGGCTGGGGTTATATGGCAGCAATCATCCCCATGCCATGGAATGTATTGGTACCATCCAGGGTACGGATGTTGTGGTCTACATTGTCTGCAGCATACTGGACATACTACTACCACTATCGCATCAAACCTTTACTTACCAACGATAAACAATACTCTGATAACACTCTGGGAGCAAATTTCAGTTGTATCACAGTCACCATGACATCTGGATGTGCCGGCCATTTGGGCTTTTTAGTCAGGTTTAGCTTATTGAAATGTATTTCATTGGATTCCTGGCCCTAGAAAATATATGTTTAGCACTTAAAATCGAATCTCTATGTAATTTAGAAGCGGAGATTCAAGAAAATATCTGTTTTCTAGCGGCCATTTTGGAACGGAGAGGGGGAGGGTCACAGAAGGCGGAAAGGGTGCACATTCTGAACCCCTACATCCATTTTCTTCATGATTCAGACTGAAATTCATGACTATCATATCTTTTCATTTTTAGAAGAAATGTATGATCTCTGTCTACTCAAAATATGTAATTGCAGATCATTTCATGAAATGTCAAAAATTACACTTTTTGACAGAATTGGGAAGGTCAAAACTTCATAATTTTGAAATTAGCCCATTTTCATATCTTTTCATCTCTAGAAAGGAGTGTATGATCTCTGTCTATTCAAAATATGTAATTGCAGATTATTTCATGAAATGTTAAGAATGACACTTTTTGACAGAATTGGCAAGGTCAAAAATTCATAATTTTGAAATTAGCCCATTTTCATATCTTTTCATTTCTAGAAGGAATGTATGATCTCTGTCTATTCAAAATATGTAAATGCAGATTATTTCATGAAATGTTAAGGATGCCACTTTTTGACAGAAATTGCAAGGGGTTAGCCTATCGATTTTGTCCAAGATTCATAATTTTGAAATTTGCCCATTTTTATATCTTTTCATCTCTAGAAGGAGTGTATGAACTCTGTCTATTCAAAATATGTAATCGATCTTTCATGTAATGTTAAGAATGACACTTTTTGACAGAAATAGCAAGGGGTTAGCCTATCATTTTTGTCCAAAATTCATAATTTTGAAATTTGTCCATTTTTTATATCTTTTTATCTCTAGAAGGAGTGTATGAACTCTGTCTATTCAAAATATGTAATTGCAGATCATTTCATGAAATCTGAAAAATGACACTTTTTGACAGAAATGGCAAGGGGTTAGCCTATCATTTTTGTCCAAAATTCATAACTTTGCAATTGGCCCATTTTTATATCTTTTCATCTCTAAAAGGAGTGTATGATCTCTGTCTATTTAAAATATATAATTGCAGATCATTTCATGAAATGTGAAAAATGACACTTTTTGAC